ACTAATTATAATTCAATAATTCTTCAGGTAAGTCAATTTTGTGCTAAGTCAAACTTCAGTTAAGTCAATTTAGCCTTCAACAAAAAGAAATTTGTAAAAATTTAATTGAAATATCAATATACCATTCTTTCATGAAATAAAAGTGTCTTATCCTCACGTGGATTTGACAATGCACCTTGGACAAACGGTGGCCCATTTGGAAAAAGATTTTTCAACAAATATTCTTTTCTAATACCTGTATTACCAAATTCATATACTTTATTACCACTGAACAAATAATTTGAACCATCAGCTGAAACCCATCAATATTATCTTTCCTATGGTACTATTCCAATGATACAATGATTGCAGTGTATCATCAATTTAAATGGAACCCATTATTGTAATTGGTACAGTTATTGATTGATCTGATCTGATAATCATATCCTTTATCATTTTGTACTATACCACTATAAGCATTTAATAATCATCTTGTAATGCAAGATACAAGATTTACTTACTTGTAATAATACCATCAACCTCATCCGGACAATTGATATCTATTTTCCTATCACTGCTTGAATCATTATCAGTATTCGATAAATCAGTTTCAAAATCATTACCATATCCTGAATTACTATCTCATATCAGTATTAGATGATGATCTAAGAGACTTTCAATACAATTTTAGACATTTGCAATTATTGATATTAATGTTAGCAATATAAGAATCCTTAGAGAGGGATGGAGCGAGAGAGAGGGAGAGAGAGAGAGAGAAAGATATGAAAGGACATAATATATTGGAACATTCATGTTTTATATAAAAATTGAAAGATACTTCATGCAAACAGTTCATTTTTCTTTCCTTTTTCCCTTATCCCTTTCAAATTAGTACCTGCTGTTGGATTTTGTCGATTTGATTTCTTATCATTTATTCCTGAAGATGAAATAATTCGAGAAATATAAGAGATAATTAACAATTATTGATTTTCAACCAATTTATAACATTTAATTTGTGATTTAATTACAGCTAAAATTATCATTCCATCTTTTTGCTATATGATAACACCTTTTGTTCGAAATAAAATAATTTTTCCGTCATTTTAGAAACACGTTAATTGGATTTAGGAATAACCTTAAGATTAATCAATTATAAAATTAATAAATTACCATAAAGATATTGTATATTTGTAATATCGGATGCGGATAATTTAGGTATAATGTAATTTCCGCTATTGTCTATTGCTTCGCGATAAAATGGTGCCATTATAGAATCGGAATCTGAGGAATGTTCAAGACCAAGAACATGTCCAATTTCATGAACTGCTACTTGTAATACATCCGTAGTATTATAGCTTAACATAGCAACTGATAATTCATTAGTTGAACTGTTTTGAACAAACCTATCATATGACCTTTTATTTATTGATTAACCTTTTGCTGACGAAAGATTCAAAGTCTAATATTTTAAATTTATTTGCAGGGAAATTACTTATTGTTTAAAAAAATATCTACTAGTACTAAAAAAAAACAACCTGATTGATCATAACAATTTTGATAGCCTGATTATCAGAAGACTATTATTAGGTAAGCTGCTTTTAATACTGTTAAGGTTTAACTATATATGAAACGGATATTATGTGACTCACATCTGATTTCTAGTGTTCATAACAGAGACAATTCTTAATCACTTGAACCATTATGCTTAATCTATTTGCCAGTATAAATTATTGCTAATTCAGAACACTCACCTGCACATAATTAATTAAATGAATGAATCACACAATTCAATTAAATAATATCTTTCATCATCTTGCATTATTTTTTATCTCTTTTTCACTTCGATAACAAAATGAACGGTGTAAAATATTTATAAATTATTGAAATATACCTTATGATAGCTTTTGGATTCATATACACCCATTTCTCATCCGAATCAAAATGGAGAATACCGGAAGACGGTAGTGTTGCATGTGCCAATACACCTCCTGAATGCGCAAAGAGAAGATTTCAGGTTTCTGGATCTTTCTTGCTTCCTATGTAAAATTTCGTTAAAAGAAAACATATTCATTACATAAGCTCTTTGATGCTTTATTGGTATTTATCTGATTTTCATGACAATCTTACGATTAACCATCCTTGAATACTGGTTTTGACTGGAAAACTGATTTACAGACGGGATTTCCTAAGTTTAGTTAAATTTCCACAAATGCAAACGGATCCCTCTTTCTTTGCAAACAATTAAATTTTTATGAAATCTAGAACTTACCTTCGCCATCAAAAGGCCATGGATCATCATGCATACGTCGTGCAAACGCAACTGTTATGTCACCTTTTTGTGATATTTCATTTAATGTCAAACGTGTCACCGCTGACCACGTATCAGATGCTTTTTTGAGTGCTTCTCTAAAAGAATCCAAAGCAAAATTCAGCGTATTTAAAAAAAAAAGAATTAAGAAAATAAAAATTAAAAAAGATTTACTAAAAGGAAATAAGATATGACTGATACCTGAATCCTTTGAATATGTTAATATTAATTTCTTCTTAATGTAATCATTGTTATTGTCAACAAGGAGAAAAAAAATGTCAACCAATTATTAAATACCTCACTTCACTCTCAGATAATTCGTTTGTTAATGACTCAATTGAATAGGTTAGATCATTCTTCTTCCATTTATATTTATCTACAAAATTTATATAATCTAAAATTTTCAAGAAGAAATAAATAAAATTAATAATTGAAAAGTTTCAACTTTAAAATTAGTAAACCTTGCTGTCGTAATGCTATTACATCCGGACGACCACAACGTTTTTGCTTCATTTTATTCACTGTTGCTGCATCAAGTTTACCGGTAACCTTCAAACCGGCAAATGCTTGAAATTTTCTGGAATTAATTACTACAAGCTAGATTAAACTTCAATTTCTTGGATGTAAAATTTTAATTCTAAATTATTTGCAGTCTAAAAAAAAATGATGAAAAGGGAACTATTACTTGAGGGCATCGCGAATAGTTATTGAATTGTGCCGTAAGATGGCTTCACTGGATGGCGCATTTGGCAGAGATGATACGATAGTCTCTTTCATATATCCATAATTGCTGAGATATTGCTGTAAATTTGTAAATAATTCATTATAACTAAAATAAAATTTCGATATTTTTTGATAAAGTTTACGATCTTCAAAAGATAAAATTTAAAAAAGTGTTGAGATATAAAGTGACAAATAATTTCATAAAAAAATAAGTTTTGAAGTCTTAAACTGCAAATAACTAAGAGATCGAGAATAATTCTCGAATCATCAAATATTTCTAAGCGAGGAAAACTACTCTCCCTCTCTCTCTCTCTCCTTCTCTTTCCTTCTTCCCTTCTTGAGTAATAAACCTTCAAATATGCAATATTCCTTAAAAATAAATTACACTGTATGGAATACCGCAATGAAAAAATTTGCATATTTTTCGCATGACATATATTCTAAAATAACAATGTTAATATATTGATCAAAGAAAGTCATTGGTAATTAATTAAGACATGGTATGCAATTATAACTTAATAGACTAACAGCAGCTTTTTCCATAGATATGTTAAATCCATCGACCTGTTCCGCAGATATGTTACGGATCGTCGAGAGTGGAATTGTTAAAAGATACATTAAAATTGAAAGTAACATTCTAAAAATTTTTCACCTTGAAAAAAAGATGAAATTGATTTAAAAAAATAATATTTCAACATAATTATGACGAAAAAAAGGAAAATTTCTGCCTTAAAATAGTATAGTGATTCACAAGAATTCGTGACGATTCTCAAGAATTCGTAACCATTCGCAAGAATTCG